AAAAACTCTCGTCTCTTCACTCATTCTTTGAAAATTTGACTACTGTAACACTCTTCTCGCTGGCATTCCTCAACACCGCATAGACAAACTTCTGAAGGCACAGAACTCAGCATGCAGACTCATTTTTAAATCAAAGAAACATGACCACATTCAACTCCACTGGCTCCCAATAGCCTCTCGCACCAAGTACAAGTCTGCCAATCTATGCTTCAACTCGTTCACTGACCCTCACTTTCCTGTCTATTTCTCTGAACTGTTGCTTCCTTACATCCCCACAAGACAACTACGTTCTTCCATTGACAGTAGAACCCTCTCAATCCCAAGAACTAAAACTAAGACCATCGGTGAACGCTCCTTCTGCTTCCATGGGCCCACGACATATACGTCATAGTGAAACCTCGTCCATTTTCAAAAAGTCCCTTAAAACTCATCTGTTTAGGTCCGCCTATGACCTGTGATGCACCCTCCTTGCCCTGCCTCATTTTCTGTTTCGGGTTGATCCTGTAGTATAGGCCAAAACGTGTCAAAGTGTCCTCGTTTTATAGCCATTTTCATTGTTTCTATAGTATAGTAGTTACTATCCTAGTGTCTCATTTTTATTTTACTTAGTTTACATGTTTTTAATAATTGTAAAGCGCTTAGAGCTGTATGGTAAGCGCTATATCAAAATGCCTAAATAAATAAATAAATAAATACTTATTAATAGCATCATAATGCTCATTTTGTGAAACAGAAGAAGTTGTATGAAGGATTACATTTTACTCTTATCTACAGAGATATTGTTTTATTGTGTGTCCGTTCATCAGTCAATAGAGGTCGAGATGCTAATTCATCTTGTACTTATTTGGATAAACATGGTGGATGTATGTAAATGTGGATGCACAGTAGAGTAGAAGTGATAATTACAACCCTATGCTGTGCTGGACAGGGAGAAGACGAACTGGAGGTTTATACCGCAGTGGTTGCTGCCTGGAGATCACATTGTTTCTTACAAAGCCAAATCTGGCATCTCGTGACCACAACGAAGATTAATTAAACTGTGCGAGCTTAGAGGGAAGCACAATTAGTTATTTGAAAAAAAAGTTGTGCTGTAATATTTTTAACACGAAAAAAAAAAATTCTATATGAATATTAATACATGTGCAGTAACTTGATTGACTGGTCATTGTCTGATTTGAATAGAAGTTTCAGTATCAGTATCGATTACTTGGAAAGAAGAAATTGAACTTTAGATACTAGAAAAGATCGTTTCACCATTCATATGTTGTCACATTCGTTGGTTTGACTGAAACTGTTTTCATTGTCTGCATCTATTATGAGAGAATAAATCACGGATAGTACGTTAACATATTTTGTTTAGTAACATAAAGCCGTATGAAACCAAAACTTGCCTATGTGCAACTATCATAACCGTCGTCTTGAAATGGAAACTGAAATATTAGTGGGAAAGCCCCGATTTGTTTTAGTTGTTGGTGTCTTATTCTAGACCCGAATTCGCAGAAACAGATCACTTCGCTTAAGATGTTTACTATTCCGAGAAAGAAAAAGTGTGTGTGTGGGGGGGGGGGACTGTTTAACATAAAATGATATTCCTTTTTTAATAGAAAAAAATGGACAAATACATCTAGATTTCTCTCATATACATTTTGTTTGTAAAAATGATCATCACAATCAATTCGCCAGTGTCTTCTGTTTCGTTACGTATTGATGAAGGTCGTATACCGTATTATAACTTTTGGTATATCTTTACATAACTAACAAAGTAAGCAACACTCAAATGGCATTGATATCATGTAGTTCATTTTCGATTGATAACAATGAAACTGTATTTTGAATTCAGAAGAAGCCGTCCAGCCGAAACCAAATTTTAAATGTCCTGACATTTAAAACCTAAACATGTCTCGATTTCCATTAGAAACTTCTATAAATAGACAGAAATCGATTAATATATATATTCAGGTATTTCCGTTTGAACATGTCAGTTTTCATTTCTAGACGACACGTGTGACAGTGTTACACAGAAAGGTAATCATCTCTTTTATGTGTCACAATATTACCTAAGGAATTTGTTCATTTTTTTTTTTTTTGTGGCATAGATTTTTTAAATAAAGTGCTGATTGTTTAAAGATGTAATTACTTATTAGACTGTTGAAAGTTACCCTGTGACTTTAAAAACAAATCTCATGATTTAGCACTATGTATTCAGTTATAGGCATAGTGCTTGCTTAAATTTCAAGCGTGTCTAGAGCAATTGATAGACACCAGGTTAAAATGTGCCAAGTCAAGCTGTGTCAAATTATAAACTGTCGTGCTCTTGTAGCCTTGCATCGTCACGTTGATTCATTAACTTGAATGTAACCACAAACGTATTCACGAATGAGCAGATTTGGTGAGGGGTTAGCTTCCGAATAGCCTTTTAAGAATGACAATAATTTTTCAATTTTAAATGTAGCTAATGAAGAACTATTTCTCTTAATATGCGTCAAATCGAGCCAATCTTACAGTTTCATCCAATGTGCCCTGAGCCAGTGGAGTAGCTGCGGGGGTGTGGACCGTACCAGCTGACACGATCTTAGAGGGTGACACCCAAGTGAAAAATTGCATATTTACACGTCTTGGTCTAATCGAGTTTCATAAAATAAAACGATTCAATGAACACCTAACCCTAACCCTAGCTACGCCACTACCTTCAGCTATATTTTTTACAATTACGTGTTCAGCCTAGTAACCTTGTGTATGTATAATAAACAGAAGATTGCTTACTAAGAGAGTTTACTCTCAATATTAATGATAGATTTAAACAAACACTTTTAACTGCTTTTTAACCCGCTACAAAGAAACGAAATGAACTTGAATTAGAAAGGATAGAAAGTGAAATGAATTCACCAAAAGTTGTGAGACTGCAATGAAAAAGTAAAATTTCTCGAGGCTATTGCAGAGAATGATTGACTCTTTGATGCCCTGGTAAAATTATGATTGAAAACTATCAATAAATAAAGATTATCTCATCAGTCATATGCAGAAACATTACAAACTTAAAAATACAGCACTTGTTACATGTGGCTGAAAATTTAGTTGTTTTTTTTTTTAAATTCAATACAAATGTTTTCTTAGGATCACCGGACATTTGATCGAAAGAAATTGCGTCGACGGTAAATTGATCGACGGAAATTTGAAGAAAGATTTTACCGCAAAAATTGAAAAAAAAAAGATTGGACCAAATTTCCGTTCGATCAAATTACCGTCGATCAATTAACCGCCGAAGAAATGTCTTTCTATCAATCTTCCGGATACGGTTTTTTCCCTTTAGCAATGCAAAGAAACTGATCAAATTCGAATCCTGGCAGACATGTCCAATGGTTTTATTGTAAGTTTTATAATGAAACATCAGGGCATATTATTTCCAACTCACTGGACGCTACTGTGTTAAACAGACAGAAACAAAGTTTCAGTATCATAATGAAATATATATATTGAAAGTGTTTATATTACATAGTGGGCATTTGGTGGGGGGGGGGGGGGCGCAATCATGTTTTCATTTTCTTTTTTAAATTAAATAAATTTTTAAACACTTCATATGTTTTTATTTCAAATATTTATTTCTTTTTATTTACAGTTTCTTTCTTTTATTTTAAATCTTTTTCTCCTATCGTTAAAACGTGCTATGCCACTGACTGTTACTGTCATGTATAGGAAACTGCCTCCAATTATCTAACAACTGAAAATAGATTAACATTTAGCCGTCACCTGCGTTACCTGCATTGAAATAATCACCCTATTCACGATGAAAGGCTTTTCCAATTAAAACGATCTCTCTTAAGGGCACAGGCGTTAGTAGAAGATGACATATGACACCAAGTGCATATTTTTTACGGAACTGATCGATAATGTGAGCAGCATAAACTCCATAAGCTTCAAGTAAAGTTTGTGTTTGATCCGCTAGTCTAGATGGGCAATTTTTAATCAACTCTATATTTAAGAATTATATCCCTTATCACAATAACTGTTAGACAACCAAATAAAAACCAACAACTACTAAATGAATCTTCGTAAACGCTCAATAAAAGTCAAATTTTCATTACCACACCCCCCCCCCCCGAACCAACGCTTGAACCTTAATATGTTGAAAAGCCCCAAGCATATGCATAAATGGAAATTCCACAAGCACACAAACACGACCTTATCACAATAACTGTAAGACAACCAAATAAAAACCAACAACTACTAAATGAATCTTCGTAAACGCTCAATAAAAGTCAAATTTTCATTACCACACCCCCCCCCCGAACCAACGCTTGAACCTTAATATGTTGAAAAGCCCCAAGCATATGCATAAATGGAAATTCCACAAGCACACAAACACGTACACTACCATTAAATGAGGTCTCTTCAACAGTGCTAACTCATGACATGGCTTGTTGTTTCTACAACATTGAGTGAGAACCATTTTTATTGATGTATATATTTATGTATTTATTTTTTGGAGCTTCCTTCATTATATGCCAGTAAAAGAATGAAGTTTTCTGAAATTACATGCAACATTTTGACAAAAAATAAAATAACTTTGTATTGATTTTTTTATAGCCATGGAAAATGATGTAAATCATAATTGTGTCTGACTTTTTTGTGACAGTTGGCAATATTAGGAAATCGCCTATTTATGGTATTTCAGCATAATTTTAGCAGAATTTATGCATAATGTCCTATAAATTTTGCCATGACGCCCCGACATCCCCGGTCATAAGCAATCGTATACCAATTCTTTAAAAACATCATCTCCTCAGTTAGAATGTACGAATTTTTTATTTTAGATTGACTAAACTAAAGCTTCCAAGAAAACAAACTATGAACTCAAAGCATACATTTAAATAAATATGCCACTTTATACCTCTAAATCAGAAACAAACTTGAAAATAGCTGTATTAGATATATTAAACATTTTAAAAGGTACCATATTTCTTTCCAGAAACTTCTGTTGAATCTGAAAATAAAATCCGAACATGTTAACCAAACCGGAAATAGCGTGTGCCATCATTGAAGGTATATCATCTGTGAGAGAAGATGAAGAACTCCAGGATTTCGTTGTTGAAGTGGAAGGCAAAGAATTTAAATGTCATCGGCTGATACTCAGCGCGTGTTCTGGATTTTTCCGTGGTCTTCTCAGGTCTGGGATGAAAGAATCGCAGAAACTTAGAACAAAGCTTGAGGGCGTCTCCATGGAAACATTCACTGACATTTTAGAAACTCTCTACACCGGATGTAACAACCTGACACGTGACAACGTGTTAAATGTTTGGCTGGCTTCAGATCAACTTCAAATAACAGTTGTATTTGATAATTGTGTAGATTTTATAACAAACAATATTTGCAATGAAACTGTCATCTCAGTTTGGGAAATAGCATCTCAATTAATGCACAAAAATATCATAGAACTGTGTACAACATTTATCAGTAACAATACATCGCTTGAAAACTGGGAAATTATATATCTGACTTCAAACTCTTTGGGTTCAGATTTGATTTTGTCTCATGTTCGAGATTTCATCAAGAAAAATTACGAACACGTCATCAATTCTGAAACATTTCTTTGTCTTAGTGAAACTTATTTACTTGAAATTATAAACGGTCAAGATCTGATTGTATCAACTGAAGATGTTGTTATTGAGTCTATTCTAAATTGGGTTAACAATGGAAGTCAAATTAAATCTGAGATAACTACTGAAGATAAAAATGAGGATGTCAGCAGTGTATTAGATGTAAATGAGAAAGACGAACATGAACAACATGGACAGGACTATAATGGACAGGAGGAAGTCAAAAATGAAGAAGATGGACATGAATACGATGGACATGAACAAGATGGACATAAACAATATGAACATGATGAAGATAAACAAATAAAAGATGAACAGACAGAAGATAATTTACTAATTTCACAGGATCTGCTGACTGGAGGCCACAGTGACATATTTTTTAATAGATCAAAATACTCGAAGGAAGCGTCTATGAAATCTCTTGAGATCCTTCTTTCAGAAACACGACTCTGTCTTGTTAGCTCAAAAACTCTTGAAAAACTATCACGTGACCCTCTAGTGATGGACAACATAAAAACAAGAGAAATGGTCATGGATGCCGCTTTATATAAATCTGTTGGACATCAACATGGTCAGTGGTCAAAAGGGGCTATTCATAGAAGTTGTAGCGATTTAGAAAATGTTGGAATGATGGGTTGCCTAAAGGGAGTTTTTCTTGCTCTCTTTTGTCACCCTGAATTTCATTGGTCGATAATTCCAGATTGCCCGTATCTGTCAAGGTGCACTACCGTGAAATTAATTGCTTACATGACAGATGTTTTTGCAGTTGGTGACATACAAGAGATTAAGAGCAGATTTTGTGCGTTTGTACAAAATGAATGGCGTAAAGTCATTACACTACCAGGTCACGGATGGCTGGGTGTGGCTGTTGAAGAATTTATCTATTTAATGAATTCTTTTAATCAACAAATTAAGAGATTTAATCCAAGACTTGGGAATTGTTTCCTTGAGGACTTGATTTGTTTCCCAACACAAGATAAAATTGAACACATTTGTTCATTTGATGTTTTCATACTTGCATTTTGTTCAGAGCTTGTAAAATACGAGGACGAGACGGCTGTACATTGTCTTGACACCATGTCTCAAACATGGACCAGACTTGACAACCTTGAAGGATCAGCCAAAAATATGGTCAGTTTCAGGAAAGAGAAACATTTATATATTCTTCAAAGAAGTGGCAACCTGTGGGAAATATGCAGCGACGGATGCAAATCTATAAATCTGAAATTGATGGTTGTCCTTTGGAACGGAAATCATAATGTAAACGGGGCTATCTGCTACAATGATGCGCTCTTTATTCATGGACAGGAATGTTTTAGTGGTCAATTATTTCCAGTATCTTTGTTCTCAAAAGTTACTGTAAATGGTAACCAGGGAAATTGGTCAAATATTGTTCCTGCTATTATCAAAAAGTCCATTATTGATAAGACATAGCTTAGAAAACGTATTTTAGTTTAAATAAAAATTATCCGATGGATTGGGTTGTTTCGTAAGATTTGACTTAACAACTTAAAATTATAATCTTCAATTTAATTTAAAGTTCACTTTAACTATCTATAGAAATAATTTCTAAAAAAAAATATATGAGGACAACAGTCAACATTTTGCAAGCATATAATTTTATTTTTAGAAGAACTCCAATGGCTCGATGGAGATTCGAGGATTTTGCTACACCTGGTCATTCATTAAATTCTTAATAAACCTATTTAAACTTTTTAAAAACCTTGTTATGTGACTTTCGGCTGACATTATACAAAAATATTTTGTGATTGCGCCTAATCTCTCAGCATTGACTAAGAAAGTTTTGGTCAATTTTCTTATTGCAGATCAAATTAATTTTCGTTTTCTTATTTGTATTGGTTTCCAAGTTTTTTCTTGGTAAAAATCTTATTATCATTGCTTTTACTTTGTTTGCCAATTTTAAAGTTTCTTATAAACATTCAAATTTATCGGACGATGTATGGAAATTCTCATTTTGACCAGCCTTTTAAAAAAAAAATTCATTCATATTTTCGAACAAGTAAGCCATGTATGCAAGTTTCTTTTATTATTAATAAGCCGGTATTAGTCTAGGAGAGTATGATTAAAATTCTTATCAGAATATTACATCGGGAATGCAGAATTATATTGGTTTGAAAAATATAGTTTTTAAGTAGCAATATTTTTTGTAGACCCATCTTTTTAAAAAAAAAATATTTTTTTTTAAATATAAAAAAAACACAGCCCATGCAGAGTATAGTTCTCCAATAACTGAATTTTTCATTAATTATTTTTTTTAAGCTCAATTCAGATATAATTCAAAATATCTAGCATATTATATTCTAGAACCAAAATGTGGATATTCACATATTTTGTTTCACATAAATTGTTAATATTAATTTATAGTTGACATTAAATATGATTGTAAAGAAATTCCTGTTTTAATAAATTTGCAAACATTGCATCTAATATTTAACTTTCTTTTATTACTTTATTGATAATGTTATGGGTTATTATTTCTATAGATGTTATATTTTGATAGTCATTTTACAAAATGTCAATTTTAACATTATATATTGTTTTTCTTCTGACACTTGTTTTTAAAACTAAAACAATAACGCATGTTGTCTTTCCTTCATGTTTGTAAATCCAATGATCTTTTGTGATACTGCTGATATTTTCTTCTAAACTTTTTGTATTGCGGTGTTAAGTTGTAAATACACAACAGACTCCTGGGACTACGAACAGTGGCATATAGAGCTGGACCCTTTGTTCTATCCTATTGGCAAGTCCTCATCGAAACTGATTTACTGTCCATCCGTGGCTCCGCAAACTTAGGGCAGTTCAGTCTCCAGTCTGAAGCTATCGGTAAGATTTGCATGGAGGCGACCTGTCCCTAAAAGTGGTATTACCTAAAAAACTATATTGTCACCGCCTCAAGCCCACATCACATCACACCACATCGCATCACATCACATCACATCGCACCACATCACCGCACCACATCACATCGCACCACATCGCATCACATCACATCGCATCACATCACATCACATCACATCGCATCACATCACATCGCACCACATCACATCGCATCGCATCACATCACATCGCACCACATCGCATCACATCGCATCACATCACATCGCATCACATCACATCGCACCACATCACATCGCATCACATTACATCGCATCACATCGCATCAGTAGTGTAGCGTGGTATAGCGTAGTGTAGCGTGGTGTAGCGTGGTGTTCGCACCACATCGCACCACATCACATCACATCGCATCACATCACATCGCATCACATCACATCGCATCACATCACATCGCATCACATCACATCGCATCACATCACATCGCATCGCACCACATCACATCGCACCACATCACATCACATCGCATCACATCACATCACATCGCATCACATCACATCGCATCACATCACATCACATCGCATAACATCACATCGCATCACCGGCCCTCGCAGTTAAGTGTTTGTTATGTCTGCATGATGATAATAGAGTTTTAATAGTAGAATATGGTCAATAACTTTGTTTTCTGGGAAAAAATAACGAATGGTGTATTCATTCTACATGGTTGTACCCTCTTTAACCCCTGATGGCCCTATAGCCCGACCGCAATAATTTAACACCGTACCCCTGGGTAATAGTGTCTATATTTAAATAGTTACAGTTGCAAAAAAATTGATCGGAGCTAAACTTTTAAGTAACATGGCCAAAAATTCTATATGATTGTTTTCCATCAAATATTACACTTTTAAATATATTTTAAAAAAATAAAACATTTTAAGTCATCAACACACATTTAATTATTGATATTGACACTGGTAATGTTGGGCAATAGTGAGCTTTGACACTGGCGATGATTTTCAATAGCGAGGTTGACACAAGTGATTTTTGGCTAGTGAGGTTTGACACTGGTAATGTTTGTCAACAGCTAGATTTGACACTGATGATGTTGGACAATATTGAGATTTGACACTGGTGATGTTCGGTAATAGTAAATTGACAGTGGTGATGTTGGGGAATAGTAAGATTTGACACTGGTGATTTCAGGAAGTAGTCAGATTTGTCACTAGTGACATTGGGTAGCAATGAGGGATAGTGAATTGTGATACCACTTCCTTTCTACTCCTCTTTGCTTTGTTTTTGTCTTGTTTTAGCGCCCTCTCCCATTTTTTTTCTTTTTTAGGTAGGATATGTATATTTATATTATGTAAATTTTATGTATACATATCCTACCTATTGTTATGTTGACACAATTTGTTCGTGTCTTATTAATCTACCACATCTTTCGTGTGGTAGTGGCATGAGAAAAACTGGAAATAGCAGCACAGCTAAGAATGTAAACGTACAGACATTCTTATCCATTTATTTTTTTTATTCTTTTGATATTTTTCAAACATAAATAATTTAGCATTTGTATATAAAAATATGTCATACATATGTAGTTATCTTTCCTGGAATGTTTTTTGTTTGTTTATTTGTTTAGTTGTTTATATTTTTGGTTTGTAAAGGGGGGGGGGACGTTGTTGTTTTCTAATGTATTATCAATTTTCAACTCGCTATAGCACGCCAAAAAATGGTGGCGGAAATACGTGAACTTTCTAAGAGACTAAAGTTACTTTACAAAACATGCATTCAAGTAACGCATTACGTCACATTCTTACTTAGTAATCCCCCCCTCCTCCGAACCCTTGGTTCCCGAACGCCTCTAAATTATGTCCTATTATTGAAACGCAAACCATGTGTGTAAATAAAACATAATAGGTTGATTTTTGTATTTTTTTTTAAAGAGATGGTATAATTGGTAGAAATAAGCAACTATGGAAGGGACCCATGAAATCCCATACGCAGAATTATTTCATTTCGTGGGTCACTTCGGTAGTTGCAAGCGACTAATATTTCCAGCAGAATACTTATCTATACAACAAGCTTAGTGGGTTTGTCTCTGTCCTGCAGATTTGTCTGTCGAAGGCTTTTGTTCAAGAACTTTTACATTCTGCCCTTCTTCTGGTTTTCTTCTATCCTTTGCATATTTTAATTGCTTATTCCTGAACGCAGTCCTTCCCGAATTTCCCATGTTTAATTATAATCTCTCCAGCGCGGGTTTTCCTCTGAGTCTGGAATAAGTATAATTTCTCTTAATTGTTTTTATTTTAAATGATTTTGTATACTAATATAGAACAGTTGACTGGAATAGACTTTGTTTCGTGTAAACGTACACCAGTGGAAGATAATCTCTATATTCTGTATTTTATATCTTTAATTCGACAGTGTTGTTTTAAATCACTAATAAATAATTGAAATGTTTCATTATATTGACTTTTTCAGTAATATTTTTAATTTGTGTGTCATTTTTTTTTTTTTTTTTTTACCAGGTTTCATACCAAAGAGATTGAAAAATAAATTTAAAACATTTTTTTTTTTTAATTTTTTTTTTTTTTGGTTTGGGATGTATTTTATATCTTTAATTCGACAGTGTTGTTTTAAATCACTAATAAATAATTGAAATGTTTCATTATATTGACTTTTTCAGTAATATTTTTAATTTGTGTGTCATTTTTTTTTTTTTTTTTTTTACTAGTTTTTATTCCAAAGATTTTGAAAAATAAATTTAAAACTTTTTTTTTTTTTAATTTTTTTTTTTTTTTTTTTTTTTTTTTTTTTACTGTTTTTTTCCAAAAATATTTTAAAATTAATTTTAAATTTTTTTTTTTTTTTTTTTTTTTTTTTTTTGGGTTTGGGGGGGGGGGTTGAGGGCTTTTATAAGTAAATGACTTATCTCCCTTTCAAATTACCTCCTTTCAACACTCTTTATAGGTTTTCACAGAACCTTATGATTTAGGTAAGTTAACTAAGTTTATAAAAACAAAGGTTCATTGATTTGTCTCGCATCATTGTAATCTTCACTGTGTCTGGCATTATCAGCGTATCGTTTTAGCACCAACTCTGATGTCTGGTCTTATCACCAACACTGATGTCTGGTCTTATCACCAAGTCTGATGACTGGTGTTATCAACAACTCTGATGTCTGGTCTTATCACCAACTCTGATGTCTGGTCTTATCACCAACTCTGATGTCTGGTCTTATCACCAACACTGATGACTGGTCTTATCACCGACATCGATGTCTGGTCTGATCACAAATAATAATGTTTAGCTTCATCACAGTCAAAGCCACCTTTCGTTCATTGATGTTTGACATCACCATGTCAGCCTTGGACAAAAACATCATGTCCGCAAGGAGTAAGCAGCATCACGTCAAATTGGGGTCAGCAAGATAATTTCAGCTATGGTTCAGC